GTCACACTGCCCCTTCCGTATTTGAATGATTCTCTGACATCATCTCAGACATGATGGAATTTTCTGACCCAGAATTATCTAATGCCCTTTCAGAATGAAAGGAATCTTGACTAATGTCAAGTAATATGCCAACAATTTCCTTTTGAATGAGGTATAATAGCTTTCTTATGTAGCTTAAAGTCCCAAATCCAAATAGTCTCTACTTGGTAGCATTTTTCTATTTAAACCAGACTCCAGTCTCCATATATTGTCTATCATCTGAGCAGTTAGAACATAAGTGCTTAGTTGGACTGCCTGTACCTTTAACCTCTGTAGAAGGTTAAGTTGCTTCTACACTGGACTGCATGTATATTCAGATGTCCTTATGTTGATTTGGGGAATAGAAAACAGTAAGATTCCCAGGTGAGGGTGCTAATTTTGCCAAAAGCAACTAGATTTGCCACTTTCTTAAATTCTTTATTAACAGTGTCTTCAGAAATTATAATTATTTTCTCATAATTTGATTCTTATATTGAGTTGATCTAACCCATTTAATTCCTTGGAATTTTACAGATTCACTTGGTCCTTAAATTTCAGCAGAGTTTATAAACTAGACACTATTTGTCAGAAGGATGATGATGGTTTTTGCCTCCTCCTAAAATTCTTCTGAGAAGGTACTTACTTTGATATAATCTATGCTGTATACTGACTTGTCCTCAATGATTTACATCTCCAATTCAAGTCAAATCCTGCTCCACTAGTTTGTGCTAACATACCATGGAATTTAGATATACCTTTGTCACTTAGTAAATGTATACTGGGATTTCTATTTCATAAGAATACAAATTTTGCCTCACTGGCTTTCAAAACTGTGATCAAAAGAGGTAGTAGATAGATCTATAATGTTATTCAAGCTCTCCTTCCTATATGGTCTTTATCAACATATCACGATTGAATATTTGGAGGAAACACTTTGGTTAATATTTCATAATTTATAGTTAACTTCTACAGAAACATCTTTGTACACTGGCTAAGTAAGAATATTAAAATAAGAGCTAGTGAGTATCAAAACTATCATCCAACTATTTTCCTAATCAGAGCAATGATCTTATGTTACCTCTCTAGAATTCTATATGACTCCACATTTACTACTGAGAAAAATTCAAACAATTCTATACATTTCCATTTAACATGACCATTTGAAAATGAAGTGTGAAGAGCACCTGGGTGGCTTAGTTAGTTAAGCATCCAACTCTTGATTTCATCTGTAGTCATGATCTGAAGGTAATGAGAGCAAGCCCCATATTGGACTCCACAATGGGCATGAAGCCTGCTTAAGATACTTTCTCCCTCTGCTCCTCCCCAGCTCTCTCTCTTTCAAAAAACAAAAACAAAAACAGAAAAACAAGAAAGAAAATGAAATGTGAAGTGTGATTTTAGCAATATTACTTATAAGAAAGGTAAAGACCGTATCCTTATTCACATATCTAGACCATGTATGCATCATCATGCAGATTAAGGTAACTTAACCACCAAATGGTGTCTCCAGTTATACTTTGTGAATAACTTCATCCCTATATTAGTGCATTCCACAGTAGCATATCTATATTCATTCTAGTTTTAGCTCTTTAAAGTACGTTTCCTATCTCTTATAAAGATTACTGTTTATTGAATTACCATATATAACAATGAAGGGGTTTTACATACTCTCATCAAGGTCATTTTCACCCAATTTTTCATGTACCTGAGTTAAGTAAGCAGATATCAACATAAAACTCAATAGTTTCCAGAGTCTGTGACTTTAACTGAAGGCCTACATTCGGTCTTCTCTTCAAGAGTTCTTAAATCAAATCCTAATACTTGGACTTGAATTCCCCCAAGCTAAGAAAGATATAAAATATGTGATATGTTGCTTTAAGAGCTTAGTATGGAGTTGGAACTGTTTCCCAACTTCCAAATAGTGATAATGTACTAACAACTACTTAATGAAAGCCCCATCAATTCCCCATTTTTATCCCTTTCTTTAAAAGACAATTCTATAATTCAACCAAGTCAATCTAGTTATTGTTTCTTCATATCACTCCCCTCAATTTATTTCTTCCTTTTGTACCCAATTTTTCTAGTTGCAAAGAAATTTTTGTCTTTCATGCAGCTCATGTATGATAATGGAGTGAGCAGACCATTTATTGTTTTGTCAGTACTTCACTTGCTAACAGTAAGAAACCCAAGACTGAGGACACACACACACACACACACACACACACACCTCCTCATCTAAGTCAGTAGCTTTGAGTTACGTATGTCTCTCTAATCATCACGGAGCTCATCAAAGGCCACTTGTACTTATAGTATTTCATCCATAATTAAGAAGTGCTCCCTTTTTGGGTTAGGAACAGGTTACCCTTCTCAGAGTAGGGCACTGTCTATGGCTCCTCCACTACACAAGATTATATCATATCATCCTGAAACATTTGCTCACAAAAATGTGCAGGCCAGCTGAGGACAACCCAAAGAAACTCATTTATTTAATAAGATCTAAAATCTGTGAGAGATAGCCCCGATCATTAACTCTAAGAATCTAAGCCAGTAAGATTTATCAGACTTCTGCTGGCATTTCTCAGTAAAATGTCTTAATTGTTCAACAGAATGCACATGAGATTCTAAGACAACTGAACTTGGCCTGTTTTTAGTTTATAGTTTTAGTCTATAGTTTTACAGTCCAGTTTAGAGTTTGTAGTCCATAGTTCCATTTTTAGTTTACAGTCTATAGTTTTTCAGATAATCCACTGTCTTAATGGAGTTACTTTGCCAGAAAAGATGCTATCTCTCCCAGTGATACCAGCGGAATGAGAAGTTCTTCCAGTGCCCAGAAAAAAATATTAAGTTGATTTTTTTTCTCTTGGTAACCCTACAATTTCAGGGTTCTGGCTCTTACCAGACCTGCTAACAGCAACCAGAAAATGTCACTATTTTTTTTTAATTAATTTCTCTTTGGACTGGCATTCTTACTCTACCCATTTAGATCTACTGGGTCTAAGTCTGTCTTCAGATTTTATTAGTAAGGATACTTCCAAAAGTAGCCACTTCATACCACAGACAGGTAAGTGGAAGTCCTAGCATCTAGTCCTAATGTTGTTTTTCTCTCCTTTCCTTTTTTTTTTTTTTTTGTATGATAACGTGTCTTAGCTACTATGCTTTAAAAGTCTGTAAGATAATTCTTATAGTTTCAAACTGATATAGCACAAAGGATTATGATGTCAAATTAGATTCATACCAATTGAATGATCTTTTCTAATATCAGGCTCTATTAAGAATTTCAAGGGTATTGGACCAAGATGCATATATGAAATAGCTTAGCTCCCAAGCTTCTTTTCATGTTGTACATCTTCTAGGCACTGCTTGAGTTAGAAAGCATATAACACTTCTAGATATAATAACATAGGCCACAGGACATTTTTCAGTAAGAGTCATAACTCATAGATTTCTATTATTTAAATTATACACATACACACGTGTGTGTGTGTGTGTGTGTGTATAAAATTTACCATAAGACAGAAACACTCTGCTATGAGCATTTCACGGAAATCACTCTCCAGCTGACAGAAAACATTTAGTTTCCAAAGAAGCCTGCCATTAGTATGGTGATTTAATAAACCAGGTCACCTGCTCTTTTCTCCCCCAGAGCAAATTCTACCCATTTCCCCAACCCCTAGTCAGGTAAAGTGAGAGCAGAATTTAAGGATTATAGATATGCAATATGCAATTTTTCTAATGCTTTCTTTTTTTCCCTATGCTAGCAGCAATTTCTGTTTTTATAGTGATTCTTGGAGCTAGAAAAATGAAAACCTTGATAACTTCCTAAAATAGTGATTAGTTTTAATATAATTTTTGTTTTTCTCTTAAAGTTGATTATCATGTTAAGAGATAGCCTAATATATCTATACTTCTACAAGTGGGTTTTAATAAAACTAGTAGGTATCTTAGGAGAATAAGCTTAATTATCAATACATTTTCAAACTTCTAACCCACAATGTTTGTGAAATCTTATTTTAAAAAAATTATCAATGTTGGCAAACTTTTTAGTTTGATGTTTGACTACATTTTTTCAAAACAACCAAAATATCTTAAAATCATTTTATGATTTTGGTTAATCAAACTGATTTTTAGAATGTTGAGTCTAAATCAAGAGGTTTAGATGATGAAGCAAATTTTCCCATAGTCCTTGGAAATTTGCATTCAAGTTCAATTCATGAAATAGTTTAAAAAGATCTGAGAGACAAATACCTGAAGTGCAATATGCTTTTATTTTAAACACTTTCTAGAATATAGCCATTATATCCTTGTGACATCCCTTGGAGAAATTACAGCTTAAGAAGATAAAGTGGTTTATCAATCTAATTAGAATAGAACAGAATAAGATAATAGAATAGAAACACACCATGCTTTATTGCCTAGGTAAGTAAGTTTATATTGTTAAGTATATTGTTTTGAGTGACTATTTTTTGTTGTAAAAATTTCCTGAATATCTCAGAATAATGAAATATAATTTTACCTATTTAAGTTATAAATGAATTAATCTTTTGGTCTGTTAGAAAACATATATAATACTGTCTTTTTTTCTTAAGTGTTATTTATTTATTTTAGAAAGAGAGAGAGAGAGCAGGGGGTAGGGGCACAAGGGGAGGGAGAGGGAGAGAGAGTCTTAAGCAGACTCCACAGTGAGTATGGAGCCCCATAAAAGCCTCAGTCTCACAACCTAGGGATCAGGACCTGAACCAAAGCCAAAAGTTGGACACTTAACTGACTGTGCTACCCCAGCACCCCCATATTGCTTTTGAGTTACATGTTTCTGAAATGAAAACCTAAAGATAACAATTAAAAGAAAACTTCAGTTAATTCAAGAATACTGCTATGTGTTTTAAAATAGAACTGGACATTTCAATTAAAAACATTTGTAATAGGGATAAATAGCCCATGTGGAAATATCCATGTTACATTAAAAATAAACTGCCTAGGCTGCCGCCGCCACCGTCAGTCACTCCGCGTTCGGTTCTTCGGCACCCGGTTCCCTGGGACCCTTCGCCGCTAGTGAACTTTGCTGCGAGCTCGGATCTTGCCGGGAAAATGTCTGATGAATTTTCGTTGGCAGATGCACTACCTGAACATTCCCCTGCCAAAACCTCTGCTGTGAGCAATACAAAACCTGGCCAGCCTCCTCAAGGCTGGCCGAGTTCCAGCCCTTGGAATAACCCAAGCGCTCCACCTTCTGTGCCGTCCAGACTCCAGCCAAGTGCGACACCCTCCACTGTGCCTTTTGGACCAGCACCAACCGGAATGTATCCCTCTGTGCCTCCCACCGGACCACCTCCAGGACCCCCAGCACCCTTTCCTCCTTCTGGACCATCATGTCCCCCACCTGGCGGTCCTTATCCAGCCCCAACTGTGCCCGGCCCTGGCCCCACGGGGCCATATCCTACACCAAATATGCCCTTTCCAGAGCTTCCAAAACCATATGGTGCACCCACAGATCCAGCTGCTGCTGGTCCTTTAGGTCCATGGGGATCCATGTCTTCTGGACCTTGGGCACCTGGAATGGGAGGGCAATATCCTACCCCTAACATGCCCATCTCCAGGGCCATATCCTGCGCCCCCTCCCCAAGCACCAGGGGCAGCGCCACCCGTTCCGTGGGGCACTGTTCCACCAGGAGCCTGGGGACCACCAGCACCATATCCTGCCCCTGCAGGATCATATCCCACACCAGGACTCTATCCCACTCCCAACAATCCTTTTCAAGTGCCTTCAGGACCTTCTTGTCTGCAATTTGTCTGCAAATTTATATGGCAATTTCAGTGGAAAACGAAGAGATGATGCTTTGCTTTTTGAAGTACATATATATGCACATGAATGCATATATCAAAATTGCTGGTCTCACTATTCTTAGAGGGCATTCATGAAAGAACAACCCTTGCACCTCTCAGAGAAGATATCTGCCTCTTGTACTTGGATGTATAGTACATCTGATGGATACAATCAGATAAAAATGTAAAAGTAAATCATTCAAATGTGATTTTTATTCGGTTTTTATGGAACGTTAAAGTGATGAAGTACATTGAATAGCTCTTTGATACAGTTTGTTTAAAACAAGTTTTTGATTTGTTTAAATTATGAAACCACACACTTAAAAATCTAAGATGATGTGGATTATTGTTAGAATCTGCAACCTCATTGGCGAATTATTTCAAGTATTTTTCTATAGTCCCTTTTCCCCTAAATAAACACACTTTGAAAACAATCACATTGTCATAATTTAAACAAATGATGCCTCTCAACATCTTGAACTGCTCTGTCGCTAGAAAAAATGCACCTGGGCCTCGTGAGGGTGTAGTTTGGATATATATTTTCAAGCTGTTGGTAATTACTATCAGATGTTGAGTTCCTTAGCCAGGCAGTGTTCATTTTTATCCTCGAGCTTTTATTAAAAACTTTTCTTTGATTTTTGAGTTCCACCTGATTTGCTTTATTTTTAGCCAGATGGGTCACACAGCTCTAAAATCTGCCATTTATGAAAACTTGGCCAACATGTGTAAATTATTCTTAGAGACTTGGTCATCTCTCTATTGCTTTGGCCTAGATTTCGAGATGTCAGTATTGCTTTGGGAAGAACTCGAAGAAGGAAATAATTCTCTCCTTTGTCTTGAACCTCAAGCCAGAGGAAACCCTGGAAATTGCTTCATAGTGACAAGTCACTTGCATTCCTACAAAACCCTCTTCTACTCAGCCCCTTCCCTGTAGGTCCCTCTGCCTCAGTTCTTTAGAAGGAGCACATCCCTTAGTTTCTCCCTGATATGGAAAATTGGCACACTCTAGGGGTCTGTTGTAAACACATATAGCAGTTATGGTTCAAGAACCTTAGTCATTTAGACGTGACTCTGTACAAGTGCGATCAAAACGTGTACATGTCTTTCAGAGTCTGGTTAAGCTGTCATTGTCTTTTGCATAGTTTCCTGCATCTGTTGTAAAATGCTTATGGCTAACAGTTCAGTTCTTTGTTTGTTGACAGGTAAATAGGTAGAATTGAGTGCCATTCTTAAAAATTCTTAAAAATTACCCTCTAGCTCTAACACTGAAACTAATAATAATAATAAGGTGTAGATCTCTGCAGTGTGACTGCCGCTTAAATTAGTGTTGTTTGTAACCACCGAAATAGCCTGAGTAGCTTTTTGGCACCTTATCTCTAAATCAGATCCTTAGAGTCTTAGAAGTGACTATGTTATTTGTCAAATAACATTGTGAACCTATGAATGTATCCATGGGGTTACTAAAATATGTTGTGAATTTCTTGCCTAGTCTAGGAGAGATTTATGCTGGAGCTCTTGTTTTTGCTTAGAAATAAAATATTGAGTAGTTTGAAAAAAAAAAATAAACTGCCTATATGTTCTCCTTTGGGTAAATTTGGCAAGAATATTTCAGAAACAAAGTGACAATGGATTGTAAATTGCCCTCAGTTCAAATCTTCACTCCCAAGTGGAAATATATAAATGACAAGGAAGCCAATTTACCTTCTTTACTTGCTCTCTAAAATATCTGCCCTGCATGTGCACCCAAATGTTGATAGCAACAATGTCCACAATAGCAAACTATGGAAAGAACCTAGATGTCCATCAACAGATGAATGGATAAAGAGGATGTGATACACACACACACACACACACACACACACACACACACAATGGAATACTATGCAGCCATTAAAAGAAATGAAATCTTGCCATTTGTGATGACATGGATGGAACTAGAAGGTATTATGCTTAGTGAAATAAGTCAATCGGAAAAGGCAACTATCATATGATCTCCCTGATATGAGGAAGTGGAGATGCAACGTGGGGGTTTTAGAGGGTAGGAAAAGAATAAATGAAACAAGATGGGATCAGGAGGGAGACAAACCATAAAAGACTCTTACTATTACAAGACAAACTGAGGGTTGCCTGGGGGCGGGGGGTAGGGAGAGGGTGGTGGGGTTATGGACATTGGGGAGGGTATGTGCTATGGTGAGTGCTTTGAAGTGTGTAAACCTAGCGATTCACAGACCTGTACCCCTGGGGCTAATAATACATTATATGTTTATAAAAAATATAAAAAATATTTTTTTAAAATAATAAAAAATAAATAAATAAAATGTCTGCCCTGAATCTGCACATGTGCAGATATTAGATAGAGTAATAAAATTTTTCCCTGTAGTTTAGAAGTTATCAAGTCTGGATTTAGTCTGTGTGTGCACCGAGAGCTAGAGTTTTAGGAGGATAACTTTTTGGTTTAATTTAATGCAATTGTAATTTAGCAAACAGTATGCTCATTGCTCAATAATCTTAATTTAGTTTTAAATAAAGTAGTACTAAACTTACTAAACAAGAATAGCATTGCTAACAGAAATAAGTTACTAAACAGCTGCCTGTGTATCCTTCAGATGAATGTCATAAAAAGCAAAGTAAGCCAAGTCCTTAGAAACTAAAATTTTTTTACATGGAAAAGTAGTATTTAAAAACCCCCACCAGGGATACTTGTGAGGCTCAGTCTGTCAAGCGGCTGCCTTCAGCTCTGGTCATGATCTCAGGGTCCTCATCTCTGGGTCCTGGGACTGAGGAAAGGTGAGGGATCAATGGTTCCTTCTCAAGCAATGGGATTAGTAAGCTATCTGCCCAAAGGATAATTTTTTCACCTCTTTGTATATATACTTTGTTTTCTCATTTGCTTTTCAAATCCTGTTTTGAACTTTTTTAGATCCACCATCCACACAGATCATCCTCAACTGTGAATTTCAGGTGCTATTTAGACATCAGTGAATAATATTATTTTTCCAATTTTTAAAAATACTACAAAGTAAACAATTTGCTCTGCAAATTCAAGGGTTGTTGAAACAAACATCATTCATCCTAAAAATTAATCTAATTCTTTAATAAATGGCACATGTTGTGATGAGCACTGGGTGTTATATGTAACTAATGAGTCATTGAACACTACATTAAAAACTAATGATGGACTATATGGTGGCTAACTGAACATAATAAAAAATAATAAAATAAAATCTTTAAAAAATAGAGGAAATAAAAAGAAACGAATGCTCTTTTTATGAGATATTCTTAAAACACCAAAAAGGCTTTGAAATATGGCAAGTACATGCTTAAAAGTGTTTCTCAGACCTTTTAGGGGAAACTTACTTTCAGTTCGAATTATATCTTACAGGTATATCAATCCATATATTTTTCACATCACAAAATTTAACCAATAGTTTTTGAGTAGAAGTACAAGTCGTATTCTTTACCATTGGTGTGTTTTTTTGCTCATGTGTGTATACTAAAATTTATATTGAAACACTTTTATTTAAAAATCAGTTGGGGTAGTAAAGTTTCATCCCCCTTAGTCCATTTATTACATTATTTGACCAATAAGTTTGTCCTAGTAAGCCTCCTGGTTACATAACTTTTGAACAACAATGAGAGAATGAAAAATATATGCATGACAATGTCTAAGCATTTTCAATCAAGCAATATAATCTTTTTTTTGTGAATTATTATGGAAAATCAGGTTATAGATTGTTATTCTAAAGAAAAGGGGTATCTATCTTGTTTATAATCTAAAAATGTTTGTTATTCTATTAATTAAAAGTGACTTGCCCTAGAATATAAAATTACATATATTTTATTATGAAGAAATTAACAGATGCTTCTTTGAGTGATCTTAGAATAATGAGGTGACCTATAGTTTCTTCAGGATCACTTAAGCTACCCAAAAAATAGTGAAGAAGAAAACAAAGATGAATATAGAGTTCCAAAGGAAAGACAACTTGTCAAATAGTAGAGTAAACATACATCTTCCATTTTCTTCAATATGTAAAGATTTTTCTCTTACATATCTACATAAATATACAACAGTATATTTCATATAGGGAAATATTCAGTCTCTGTTTTAGGTTCCATATACTAATATAAGTCCATAAGAATAATAAAACATGTTTAAATATCATTACTTTAGAAAATATGTTGTACTTACTCCATAGAAACCCCCAAAATATTTCTGCTATTGGAAGAGTTGTAATGTGATAATACTTCTCTTCAGATATAATTTAAATATAAAATATGTCACTAGAATCCACCCCTCTCCCAATTTTATCTAACAACCTCTAAATATGACTCTGCAATTCCATGCTAGTTTTTGGATCATGTTGTGTATCCTGTCATAATCCTCATAGGTATTTTTCTCATTTTAGTGAATGATAAGCTTGACAGCTAGAACTGTATATAAATAAGTTGGTTCTTAGAATGAGTGTTTTAATTATTAGTTTTAGTCTGTACACATCCATGAAGTTAATAAAGTACTCTATTTGTCATCAAGTCTGTTATAAGAGACACTCAATGACAAAGATATTTCATTTTTGTAATTAACTAACAGCTCACTTCCCTGTGTCCCGCAGATATATTTTAATTTTGTTATGTATCAACTAAAGAATGTCAGTGATGAGAATAGAATAAATAAGCCAGTATCTCAATTAAGAATGTGATTTTTGCAGTTTTAAAAATCATGGCTTCATTTATGTTTAATTGACAGCAACTAAAATAATGCAATACATCTCTCATAATCAAGCGAAGAAAAATGTCCCTATTTCTCTGTAACTCTGCATTAGTAACTTACAATTCTGAACACCCAAGAGGAGAAAAAACTTAGAAGAAGCCATTATCAGTTGAAACACTTAACAGCTATTTGCTATATAGCTCAGTTACAGAGCATTAATGAAGATAGTCCACCACAATGCAGGTATGTTTGGATTTTCCACAGGGCTGTGCCCCACCTGACTTAATAAATCATTTGTTTTG